ACACTTGCTGCTGAGCAGTCCGAGTCACCCGAGCCGCCGTGTTTGCTGAGCTGCTGTACTACCGAGCTGCCCGACCCCGCCCTGTCTGATGAGAGCAGTGCTTCGGTCATTGCACAGCCCCTGTCCTACAGTTAGTGCTGCTAGTCTACTGCTGTCATGGCTACCCCCAGTGTTCTCGCTTTTGACGCTGAGGGTCGGGCCATTGACTTTGAGGTCTAGGTAGATGACCTGCAGCTTTTCCTATAGTGCGATAGGGCAGACGGTCTCTCTCTCTTTGACCTCACCTCTGGTGCCTCTCCTGCCCCTGCTGCTGATGCTGATGCCACTGTTCGCTCCCAGTGGGCCACGCGCGATGCTGCTGCTACTGCACATCTTGCTGTGCGTCGTCACCTGCCTACCACCAAGCGCGCGCACTTTAGTCAGTACAAGAGTGCTCAGACCTTGTACGACGCTGTAGTTGCGCGCTACTCTTCCCTGCCACTGCTGCACTGAGCCGCCTCATGCTACCGTACCTCTTCCCTAACCTTGCTGCTGCCTTCCCACAGTCGCTGACCTCATTACGCACCTCCGCACTAGTGACACTCGCTACCGCGTGCGCGCTGCCTTCCTCTGAGTTCTGCGCCAAGAACCCCCCCCAATGTACATCACTCTCTATTACATAGTCGCCCGCCTACCTGACTCCCTTCGTGTAGTCAGGGACCATTTCCTCTCAGTCTGTCCCACCACACTCACTGTTGACCTCCTAGAGCAGGCCCTCCTAGCAGCGGAGAAGAGCATAGTCGCTGTAGGAGCCTCTCGTGGTGACCCTCGCGCCCCCATCTTTGAGGGTGTTCCCCTTCCCCCCTTTTGCCCTCTGTCGCCTCTGTTGCTGCGGCCGACCTCGTTGGTCTTGAGTCGGTCGGTGCGGCGTCCCCCTTGCCCTTGCCCCTAGCGGAGAAGCCGCTCTAGCAAGGGCAAGGGGACAAGGGCGCGGGTGGAGCTAGCGGGGTGGTGGAGGTGGCGGTGGAGGCGGCGGAGGGAGTGGGGGTGGCGGTGGGAGTGGTGGCGGGGGTGGAGGTGTCGGTGGCAGTAGTGCAGGTGGAGGCGGCGGAGGCGGTGGCGGTGGGAGCGGAGGCGGCGGTGGTGGCGGAGGTGGAGGAGGCGGTGCTGGAGGAGATGGAGCTGGTCGGGGTGGCGCTTCGCAGCGGAGCGGCTCCGGTGGTGGTCAGCACCAGCAGCAGCAGCAGCAGCAGCGTTCTCGGGACATCCCCCCTCCTCAGCAGCTCCGTGAGTGGTACGCGTAGCGTCAGCGTGGTGGGGGTTTTGGTCCGTGCACCTACGTCCTTGGCACCGGCGACCGCGCGGGTGAGCAGTGTGGGGGTGCCCACCCCACCCAGCGCTGCTTTGGCCGCATGACTGACCCTTTGCGTCAGAAGTTCCCGGAGGCTACTGAGATCCCCCGCTGGGGAGAGCTGTCTAGGGCAGGTGTAGCTATCTATGATCTTGACTTTGATGCTATCCTTGCTGCCATGTATGCTGTGTCTATTAGTGATGAGGGTGACTGTTACCGGTGTTTCCCGCCCAACCCGGGCATTGCGATTGCTGCTCTAGGTGCTGGTGAGGCTGCTGCTCTAGGTGCCAGTGCGTTTGCGTCCTTAGGTGCTGGTGAGTCTGCGCTCTCAAGTACCGCGTCGACTTCGGCCTCCCTCACCTTCACACTTGACTCAGGGGCTTCTCGCTCCTTCTTTTGAGACCGCACCACACTCACGCCGCTGGGTCGACCGGTTGCAGTCTCCCTGGCAGACCCCTTTGGGGGCCCTATCCTCTCTCACTTCTCTACTGTCCTCCCGTGTCTGGCTGCCCCCTCTGGCACCTTGTCTGGTCTTTACCTCCCCTTGTTCTCTACGAACTTGGTGAGTGGTGCTAACCTACAGGATGCGGGGGTTCACCAGTTTACTCCTACGAGTCAGCGGGTGACCCACTGCTCGGACTCTCGCACAGGCCGACACTTGGCCACGTTTACGCATCGACCAGGGTCGAGCCTCTACACCATGACCACTGAGTCTCCTCCTGTCCCTGCGTCTGGCCAGGTAGCTGCGCCGGGTCAGGTGTTTGCTGCAGCGTCCAGGTCTGGTCCTGAGTCTGCCCCCTGCTCGTGTCGCCTCCTGTCTCACGAGACTCTCCTGTAGCACCACCGTCTTGATCACCCCTCCCTGCCTTGTCTCGGAGGCATGGCTTCCCGTGTCCTTGTCTCTAGTCTTCCCCGGTCCCTCCCTCCCCTCCCTTCGGGGCCTGGTCCTTCCTGCGTCCCCTCTGTCGAGGGGCGGCTCCGGTCTGCCCCTCACTCCTCTTAGTTTCCCTCGACAGAGGCCCCGCTGCAGACGCTTCACATGGACGTGTGGGGCCCGGCCCGCGTCCGTGGACAGGGTCACGAGCGCTACTTTCTGCTGGTGGTTGATGACTACTCGCGTTACACCACAGTCTTCCCCTTGCGCAGCAAGGGTGATGTCACTGAGGTGTTGATTGACTGGATCCGCGCAGCTCGTCTCCTGCTCAGGAGGAGATTGAGCTCGGACTTTCCTGTTCTGCGTCTGCATTCTGACCGAGGCGGAGAGTTCTCCTCTGGCCTTCTGCGAGCCTACTTCCGTGCGCGAGGCATCCGCCAGACCTTTACGCTTCCGGACTCTCCACAGCAAAATGGGATTGCTGAGCGCCGCATTGGCATGGTCATGGACGTCGCTCGTATGTCCATGATGCATGCGGCTGCCCCCCATTTTCTGTGGCCGTTTGCGGTTCGGTACGCGGCGCATCAGATCAACCTTCACCCCACGGTCTCCATGCCGGAGACCTCCCCAGCTTTGCTGTGGAGGGGGAAGGTAGGCGATGCGTCTGCGTTCCATGTGTGGGGATCTCGGGCGTTTGTCCGCGACTTGTCTGCGGACAAGCTGTCCCCTCGTACTGCTCCTTGTGTCTTCCTCGGCTTCCCCCCTGACGTGCTATGGTGGCATTTCTACCACCCCTCCTCTCATCGTGTTCTGTCCTCCCAGGACGTCACGTGTGACGAGTCGGTCCCCTACTACCGTCTCTTCCCCTACCGCACTCCTTCCCTCCCCCCGCCTCCGCTCTTCCTTGTGCCAGGTCCCCCCCCCGGTAGACCCCTCCCCCCTCATAGTCCTGCCCCTTCACGTGTGTCCCAGGTAGACGCAGTCGAGCCGGTCGAGGTTGCTGGTGACTCTGGTACTGCTGCGGGTGCTGAGCCTGGGGGCGCTGAACTCTTGGGGTGCTGCGCGAGTGGGTGCTGAGCCTGGGGGGTGCTGAGCCTGGGGGCGCTGAGACTGGGGGTGCTGAGCCAGGGGTGCTGAGATTGGTGGGTGTTGAGCCTGGGGGGTTGCTACGTCAGGAGCTGCTGAGCCTGGGGTTGCCACGTCTGTGAGCTGCTGAGCCTGGGGGTGCGGAGCACGCGGCTGCTGGACCTGCTAGTGTGGCGTCTGGCGGTACTGGGCTTGGAGGTTCTCCGGGTGCTTCGTCCTCGGCGGGAGCCACTCTCTCCACAGGAGCTGCGCGAGTGGTTTGCCCGGGCGCTGGAGGCGTCGTGCTGGAGGCTGGAGCTTCTTCGGCTGCTGAGGGTGCTGGTGCCGCCGGTCCCGGAGGTGCTCGTCCGGGGAAGTGCTGGAGCTGCTGGTACCTGCGGTACGACTGGAGCTGGAGTTGCTGAGGGTGTTGGCGCTGTGGGCTACTGCTGTCAGTCCTGGCGGCGGTCCCTCCTGCGGGGTGCTGCTGGTGCCTGCTGGAGGTACTGCAGCTTGAGGTGCTATTGGCGCTTGTGCTGCCACTGAGGGTGCTGTGCTGTCCCTGCTATGTCTGGAGTCGCCGTGCGGCCTCGGCCGTACTTCGTTCCGCTCCTTCAGCAGGTTCTTGGTCTTCCTCCTCCCTTAGAGTGTCCACCGCCTGTCCCAGTTACAGTCACAGTTACCGCCGGCCTCCCCACTGCCTGCTCCTTCTCCCTACACTGGTCCTACTGGAGGCCTTGCTGAGCGTCGTGAGCCTGCGTCTCGTCCTGCGTTGCCTGTTCGTGCTGCTCGCGCTAGTGGCCGCGATTCGCGTCAGCGTCCTCCTCCTGTCCCTGGCACGCACCGGATGTCTCTGCGTCCGTCCACTGCTCCTGTGCGTGCCCCTTTGCCTTCTCCTCCTGAGTCCTCTCTTCCTGCACTTGCCGACCCAAAGTCGGACTCTCTTCGTGCTGCCAGTCCTACTGTCACACTTCTCTCCTTGCTACTGTCGTCACTGAACCACCTCCTTTGAGGTCCACTGCTGCGTCTGCTCTTGTTGCTGAGCTCGTCGACTTTGCTGCTCGCTGTCGTCTAGACTACGCTGCTAGTCTTGTTGCTGAGTCAGCGTCTTTCTGTCCTCCGTCCGTCGAGGGTGAGTGTGCTCTTGGCACGGACGTCCTTGAGGACAGGCAGGAGGAGTTTCCAGTGTTTGGGTGCTGCTTCACCTCATCTCGTGTCCGTACTGCTTACCCCTGAGGGAGACCCCGGATGCACTTGACATCCGACTCCGCGCTCTTTACGCGGAGGCCGTAGAGGGTCCCTACTCCTCTCAGTGGCAGGCAGCTATGGATGCAGAGATGGCTTCCTGGAAGTCCACAGGCACCTACGTTGACGCGGTTCCCCCCACCTGGGGCGAACATCGTCAGTGGCATGTGGATCTTCAGGGTGAAGCGGCCGCCAGGTTCTCCACGTGTCTTCAAGGCGTGGTATGTGGCTCGTGGCTTCAGTCACCGGCAGGGAGTTGACTACTTTCAGACCTTCTCTCCCACCCCGAAGATGACCACTCTTCGGGTGCTGCTGCACATAGCCGCTCAGCGTGACTACGAGCTTCACTCTCTTGACTTCAGCAGTGCTTTCCTGCAGGATAGCCTGCACGAGGAGATCTGGCTGCGCCGTCCACCTGGCTTCGCTGGGACTTTTCCTCCTGGCACCCAGTGGAGCCTCCGACGGCCAGTCTACGGTCTCCGCCAGGCACCGCGTGAGTGGCACGACACACTGAGGACTACGCTTGCGGCTCTTGGTTTGCTCCCTCTACTGCTGACCCGTCGCTGTTTCTACGCACCGACACCTCTTTGCCGCCGTTCTACATCCTTGTGTACGTCGACGACTTGGTCTTTGCCACTGCTGGACTCGCCCACAGTGAAGTCCGAGCTGCAGAAGAGACACACGTGCACAGACCTGGGTGAACTGCGCAGCTACCTTGGCTTGCAGATCACCCGGGACAGAGCACAGCGCACCATTACCCCGACTCAGTCACACATGGTTGCAGCAGGTCCTTCAGCGCTTCGACTTCACGTACTCCTCACCTCAAGCCACTCCTCTGTCTACTCGCCACTCGCCCTCAGCTCTGCCTTCGGATGAGTCCGTAGAGTCGAGTGGCCTGTACTTAGAGCTTGTTGGCTGCCTCATGTACCTGATGACCTGCACACGACCTGACCTTCCATACCCTCTTAGCCTCCTCGCACGCTATGTTTGCTCCTGGGAGACACAGACCGGAGCACATGGCTGCAGCGAAGAGGGTGTTGCGCTACTTGTGCAGTACATCGGGCATGGGGCTGTTGCTTGGAGGTCAGAGTCCAGTGGTCCTCACTGAGCACGCAGACGCTTCTTGGGCTGACGACCAGGCTACACAGCGGTCGTCACAAGGTTACACCTTCAGCCTTGGTTCCGGCTCTGTTTCGTGGCGGGCTACTCGCTGGTCTTCTGTTCTCGGCTCTAGTTGTGAGGCTGAGATCTACGCCGAAGCCATGGCTGCTCAGGAGCTACGCTGGCTCACCTACCTGCTGACTGACCTCGGAGAGCCGCCTCGTTCTCCTCCAGTGCTGTACGTAGACAACAAGGCCATGCTGGCCTTGAACTTGTGCTCGGAATGTGTGGTGACTTTGTGATCCTCCCTGAGCTTTGTTTTGCTTTGCTTGACTCGTCTTGTGACCCCTTGTTCTCCCCCACTTTGCCTATGGGGGTGTGTCAGATTTGTATGACATAGCTGTTGTAGGCTATAGTGGGGTAGCACATATGGGGTACAGCTTTCTAGGGTTGTATTTGTACCCAACTTTCACTTAGTCATTTCATTCTCGTTCTAACTTTCTGAACTAGAGTGGATGGAGGGGATGGCACGAAAGGAGCAGGTTGTTCAATGGTTTCAGTTCTACTGGCTGAGCAAAAATATTGGTGGGGGAGGGGTGGGGACAAAACTAGCACACACACCCCCTAGCCTCCTTCCTCCCCTCTCCCCTTGTCCCCCCTCCATCCCTTCTCCCCTTCCCACGAGTCAGGGCATCCCCCTACATTCACCCTAACACTTCAGGGCAAGATTTCACTGCCATTCTGAAATTTCAGGGCAAAACAAATGAATCATCCTGACATCCCAGGGTAAATTTCTGCGCCATTCTGAAATTCCAGGGAAAATTTGAAACACCATCATGAAATCAGGGCAATCAGGATGTTTTGCCCTGATACCGTGGGCCCTGTGTAACAGCTTTGTAGGTGTTGGAAACAAGTGATTTAAGCGCTTCTACTGTGTCGAAACACTAAGTCGTAAACGAAGCGAAGCACAAACGAAGCATCGACGAGTCAAAGATCGGAGGTTGACAAGTGAAGTAACCGCTGGAGGTTAAGCGAGGGTCAAAGGTCAGCGACCTCTGACTTGACAAACAGAGCACGACAGCAAGGACAAACAACTGACTCGATACAGAGCAGTTGCCCGAGTCGTCACTTTATCGAACCGCAACATCAACAATAAAACAGTTATTAGCTGCATCTTTTCATATCCCTTGTACTCTTATAAAACCTTGTACCTTCTTGTTTTAATCAATCTACTTTTCCCTCACATACCAGCGCAAGGTGGTTCAAGTACTTGTCATTAAAACACATCCGCTGTTACATTGCCCTACCTAGAGTTTAGCCTTGTAACGATCTTGAGGGCTTTTTTCTCAGCCCAACATGGTATGAAAGCTATCAGGGCAAACTCAACTACTTCCAAGACACCTACAACATCAGAAGGCATGGCAATGTAGAAGGATAGAAGCTTCTCTAACGGCTCTCCCGGTACTACTCCTACTCCACCACCTGCCTCTGGCCTACAGACAGAGGAGGGCACTGCAACAAGACCAGCAGCTGGGTCTACTGAAACTCCCGCAAATCAAGCCACGGGCTTCGACCCAAGCATGATGGAGAAGTTCTTCTCCTTCATGTCCTTCTACAAACAACACCAGCAAGCAGCACTTGCGCAGTCAAACATCAGCAACAACAACAACGATGTTACGCCCATGAGCCTCGACGGTTCATCCTATGCGCGCGAAAACCAACAGCAACCCACCTTTGCTCCGTACGAGCCCCAGCGCGGCTCCATCAGCTCCATGCCGCGCCAACAGCCCTCACCTGAACAAGAAAAGACATTGGACGCACTTCAAGTTCAGTCGCAGTTCGCGCACGTCTTAAAACTTCAGGCATCAACTCCCTTTGACGGAAAGGATTTCTACACCTGGTCATTTGAATTCGAGCTGATGATGGAAGGCGAGCAGATACTTGGATCCTTCGACGGGTCCCTGCCATACCCAGTACACAGAACGCAATACGACAAGCCGTAGTACACGTATCAATCAATGATGGCTTACACGATCTTGCTGAGGAACATAACTCCAAACCAGCAGCAACTCCGCCGAGCTCGCGTACAACCATTTGAAGAACCTATATCAAGCAACAGACAACGCCAACCAGAGTCGATTAATGGCATAGCTGACAACAGTGGAAATGAAACCGGGTGAAAAGGGAATGGCATATATGAGCCGCTATTGCGAATTGCGTGACAAACTCCTTCGATGTGGAGGATCGATATCTGAAGAAGCCTTCGTCACAGTCGTCATATCCGGTTTTAGTCCTCACTAGCGCTCCACCAGCGCTACTCCAAGCTCACAGGAAGATCTCCGAAGCGGTACTCTGCGCCGAAATCCGCGCCGAACAACAAGACATGGACCTGCATGAGGAACGACACAAGAGAAAGACATCAATACCAGAATTCGCATTCCACACCCAACGGCGCTTCAACAACTCCAACCGACGGAATAAACAACAGCAGCCATGGCACATACCACCATTCTGTCATCTCTGCAAGACGTTTGGACACCCCCGTGCACACTGTCCAAGTCTGCAACAGTCAACGACACCACAACGACAACTTTGACCTTCAAGCAGCCAAGTTGCCTCAACACAAGCGCATCCAACTCCTCAAGCTCAAGCCTCGACAACAACGCAACCTGCACAAGGAGCAAGAAACATCGTGAGTTGCATGGTAAGACTATAAGACTCCTGCATCACTGAGTCACCACCGTACTACTCACCAGAAGAACAACTTGACAAAAGCACTCCTCGCCGCGAGACACTGGAGCCGAACCCGACATACGCAACCATCGCACAGAGCGAGCCGTCCAGGAAAGACACTTGGTGCTTGAACAGCTGCTGCGGACAGCATATGTGCTCCTCAAGTCGCTTCGTTCAACGTGAACATCAACTCCAACGCGAAGTCGTCATCACCGTCGCCAACAATCAAAATCTGCGCACACGATGACAAGGAGTTGTTCAACTTCACTCAAGAGAAACAAATGTTATACTGGAGATGTCAAAAGTGTTAATCGCGGAGGGACTCGGCTACAATTTACTAAGTGTGAGTCAACTGTTGGCAAAAGGCATTCACCTCGAAGCGGATAGCACCACTCAGGAGTTCAAACTACTGTATACCACGGGAGAGGCGGACTTTACATCGGGAAGGCTGTGTTGAAGAACAACGTCTTCGTTCTTGACTTCGTTCTAGACTTAGACACCGCCGACAACGACGGAATCGTGACCTTTACCTCTTCGACACATCCACCGGACCTTGACCCTGACTTCAGCCCCGGCGGCTTCTGGTATCCACACACCATACCTGAAACAGAAAGAGCGAGAGTAGCAACAATTTAATCGGTAGCAGCGGAGACAACATCGGCAGCAGCAGAGACAACATCGGCAGCAGCAGAGACAACATCCGCAGCAGCAGAGACAACACCCGGCACCAATCGCTGGCCCTTCAACGGCACCGGTCTTTGTCGACAACACACCACCGACTCCCGCGCAGCAGCTGAATCCAACTCCACGATAAGTCCATCGAAGCGCAAACTTCACCGTAGGCTTCTACTCCAACTCCGACGTGTACAGACGTTCACCCGGACATCGCGCCACTGAAGGAACCTGGCACGCAAGAATGGGACATCCAAGCAACACGACGTTAAACAACAGGATAAGAGCAGGCGTTGTGAGAATTAGAACGAGAATGAATGAGCTATGAAAGAATTGGGTACAAGTACTAACCCTCATTGGGTTGTACCCCTTATGGGCTACCCCACTACAGCCTACACAGATGTATAAGCTATATGTTATGACACACCCCCATATGCAAATTGGGGGAGAACAAGTGGTCACAAGACCAGTCAAGCAAAGCAAAGCAAGCTGAGGGTGGATCACAAAGTAACCACACAGTCCGAGCACAAGAGCAAGGCCACAAGGCCAGTTCACAAGCAAGATCATATATATAAAGGTAAGCAAGCAAGTGCAGGTATAGAAAGAGTACAGTACAAACAAGATCAAGAAGTGAGCAAGTGAGGCCATGTAGGCACAAGACCTAGCAAAGTACAGAAGCGCTGATGATCACAAGGCGGAAGGGCCTTGGTGAAGATATCAGCAGTGTTGGCCTCAGAGGCCACGTACACTGAACGAAATAATTGTCCATATGTTCATGTTTCAAGACATGAACGGGCATTAGTGTTGTGTGATGCAATCATATGCATTCACGTCTGTTTGCCTCCCATCATATGTTCGTGCGTTGCATGCGTGGTGTGAGCGTGTGCAAGAATTTGTGTTTGATGTGGTTTGATTTTTTCTGAGTGTGTGTGAATGTTATTTGGCTTGAGCAGATATCTGAAGTGACTCCTCTGCTCAAGAGCTTTCCGACGAACCAAGTATCGCTTCAATCGGAGCACGAACAAGAAAGTTACGAACGTTGGAGTTCGTATGCTTTTGATATTTGGTTGTGGTGACTATGGGAAGTTGTGGGGTTGACTCAATATGGGGTACAGACTTTTGGGGGTTGGGAAATTCGTCAACATCATTGTAGATGCTGCCAAGTGGTTGGGAGAAACCAAACCAGGTTGGCAAGTGTGGCCAAGGTGGGTTTAGGTGGATGGCATGGGTTGGGAAAGTGACAAAAGTGAAAGTCGGGTTGCCTATGGAGAGGGGAATTGTGTGGCATGGGGTTTCCTTGGTTGGGGACTGTCTTGGGACCTTCCCTCTCGTCCTCCTCATCCCATCCCACCTGGTTTATTGCTACTCTA